TATGAGGCACAAAAAATCATATAATTCATACTCTATTAATGGTGGACCGGATGTTATTTTTTTCCTGCACTGAACAGAACAGTATGAAATACACAGATACAGTATATACATGCAAAAAAACTGCACCGACATGCTGGACACACAGCTGTCAGATAGTTTCAGATTTGGATCCATTATTGAAGCAATGAAAATACATTTTTGCTGGGTTGAAGGAGTCAGTGGTTGATGAGCTGCAGACTCTTAACCCTCATGAGGCAGGACAGTATCCAGCACTGGCTTGATGTTGGTAATTGCTTTGTCCAGGTGTTCTCCAACGTAGGGCCGCAGATAGTGGCCGTAAGCACCGAGAAGAGCCATGCGAGCATTGTTCACAACAGGCTCAAGCTCAGAGGCCAGACCACTGAAAGGAGCACACAAAACATTATAGATTTACTCACATGGAATGAAGGTTGTTAGAATGATATGGAATTGGTGATGCAGTAAGATGACCAGTTTGAGGCATCCCTCACCTTATAATTTTGATGGCACTTTCCACTCTTGGGCTTTTCCTAATTTCTTCAAAAATCTCCTTGGCTTGTCCTCCTGTTGGTGCGCTCTCTAGAGCTGGTTGAACGGAATCTTTGGCTTTTTCCCAAGCATTGACAAGCCTCTTAAAGAAAACTGCCTTCAGCCCCTCATATTTCTCCACTAACTCCTTGTCAGGCTCGGACCATTGCTGTGCCCACACACACGCCGACACTACAAGAGGAAGAAAAGAGTTTTAGAATGATATAAAACATCCATGTGCCCACCTTAAACAGCATGTTTACACACATTTATTGTAAAGTTCCTGATTACTATGTGTATAAAATCTTGTTTTTCATGGAAACATGTAAAAAAGGATAGTTTGGACCAGATAAAGGTCTGCACAATTGTATGTGCGTCTAGTAAATCGCTGTTCCCCTTAACATGGCTTCATGCTGAGATGCCACCTACATGTCAATCATTCATGTATAGGATTAATTCAGGATAAATGAGACAGTCTCCCAGTCATCTCTATAGCAAAAAGTGTCTCAATTTCACCCTACAAAACTAAATGCAAATAACCTGGTGACTTCTGTTATTTTACTCTGTTCTGTTATTTGATGGCTTCAAATGAACTAAATCTGCCTTGAATTTCCAGTAAGGTCATAATCTTGCCAAACTGACATGAACAGGCCTCAAGTCTTCTGTTCTAATATGTTTAATTATTTTTTCCAGTTGTGAGAGAGACACATTTTCAAGAACTAGTTTTTACCTTGGAGTGCAAGAATGAGAGCGAATGTCAGCTTCATCTAGGAGAAGAACAACAGAAATTTAGACATTATATGCTTGCTGAACATGTCAGTGAATGTAAATATCACAAATTTTCAACACTTAAAGTCATTTTTAACATGCACAAACCAAAGATTCAACTGTTTTAATGCAGCAGTTTTAATATAGTCTTTCGCATTTTAAAATAGTGATGCATTGTAAGTAATTTTATCATTAAAGGTTAATGCATGCATGTATAAGAGCAACATGGTGAAGACTCACTTTACCTTGTGCTAGTGAGATTCCTGTAGAGAGAAATAATGGACTGGAGTCAACTGCAGTGGTTGCGTCTGCAGTTATATTGTCTACCGTCCATCACTATATCTGCCTGACCGATTGACCAAGCAAACATCATCATCACACACACACACACACTCAATAACTCACAATCAGTCACACAATTTTGCTGCATGCATACACACACACACGGGTGGACCTACTGTTCCTACAGGGCAAACATGTACACCATGGTTTACCTACTCAAAGTCCACTGCTCCCTTTGAGTGTATTAATAAGGCATTAGAGGATACTTATGAAATCACTAATCGAGGATATTCACATGCCCTCTGTATTTGTTAGAACATTAAAGATGCATTTAGGATAAATGTATACACTAAACAGGTACATTTATACAAAGAAACATAAGGTGCATTCAAGACAAGAATTACCCGTTTTCAATTACCCCCCCAATTACAGGTCCAATTTTGGCTGTAAGTGTGATATTATGTAAAGCTATATGATTGGCTTTTATATTGTTACTGTACTGATGCCAAAACAAATTATTCAAATATAATATGGAAACTATTTACCTTTTTTATTACCTATATCTTTTCTCTACCCACTAATAGAGTGATATTAGATCTAGAAGCCAGTTCAAATTTATTTGCAGTTTTCACTGTACATATTGTTCAGAAGCAATATTTAATTGTCTTACAGTTAATTACAGTTAATATCTGTATAGAATACATTCCTATAAACATATTTTAAAAAAATAACTATTCAGCACTAAATGTACTGATTGTGCTCAGACAGCTGTTTCATTTTTGAGTGCCAGAATCAATATTCCTGACTTTAATGTGCATAAACTAATGAGGGTTAAGCAAAGGCTGTCCAAAGGTTGTGAAAAACTTTCCACATGCCAAATTGACAGAAGCAGACCCTAGTGAACTTTCCACTTTGGAACATAACGTGTCTAATCTACAACCTGTGGGCCTTTTTTCTTCCTTTTTCATAATATTAATTACATTAAATTATTGGTCAAATATTTATTGTTTCCATTCATTTTACATCTTTTTTTTTGTCCTTTGTCTTCTTCTTTAACTTTTTTTTCTGTTTACTTCATCCATGCATTTCTCATGCAAGATTCAGCAATCCATTTTTTGTGACATTATCCATTTTTATTAATTTAGTGTTAAAAGGAAATGTACAGAAAAATAATTGTATTATTCATTTATAATCTTCATGTACATTTGGACATAGTGGAATTGCACTTTGTTTAGTTGTGCATCATTACAATGGCATGACTACATTGGATGTATGATTTGGTGTATTAATTCCACAATATCTATACCTTGAAAATTTCTATGAGGTTTGATTGGGATTGGTCCCTATGAATTGCTCTGCTTATTGATCTTGGGATGATCTGAAGGTGGTCACTCTGTGTTTCACTCTCTCCCACATGAACTTGCATGGTCTTTTGCCCACTCCATGTAAGAGTCAGTTACAGGTTTGAGATGATCCTCATAGTACATGCCAGCAAATCCAGCCACTATGCCACCAAGATTTAGAACTTTAGCCTTTGTGTCCCTGTAACAAACGCACAAGCAAACAGAAAATGTAGAACAACATGTTCACACATTAAACGCATGTATAGGGTGCATTTTATGTAAGAAATGTAGCAGTGAATAAACAGTACCTGTACACTTGCTTTGCTCTTCCAAGAAGTCCAGCATTGTCTGGAGCAGAAGTGGGCAATGGGTTGGATGATGTCAAACACACTAAGGGGCCATAGATTTAAAGATTTAGAAATAAGTTGCATGCTAACGATGTTTCTGTTGATATTTTTAGATAAATATAAATTAATAAATAAAATATACATGCATATATAAAGCCAGACCCTGCAACGTCAAAACCAGAACAAAGAAAATGAGTCTGGACATCTGGAAGAATAAACAACTGAATTAGCTACTTGGTGGTGATAGATCTAGAATTGCTTACATTATTACAGTCTGGTGGTAACAAGTAAACCTTAAACACATATAGTAAATATGTACCTTTGGAGTTAATGCAGTAGAAGTAAATGCAGTGTTTTTGTCTTCAGAAGAACTATCAGCTGGATATCTCAGATTTTATAAAGTTTTTCTGAGGTTTTTGTGATGAGCTTTTCTGTGAAGAATGATATCTTGCTGCAGTAGTGTTGCATTTGAATCAATTCACATTCTGAGAAACCGGTCACACATAATTTCTGAGCAGGCACTGCCTGCTGTTTACTTAGATGAGACCAAAACAACCAAATTTGGAGTTTGTGATATAAATATTTTTACTATAAATAAGAAATGTTGTAGAAACAAATTCACAATTACATATTTTAGTAGTAGTTTTGGCAGTTTTGTTTGTGGGGTGTCCACTTGATGTATATGTATGATACACACACAATCTAAAAAAAATTATTCTGTATGATTTACAAGCTTTCGTACCCATGGGGACCTCAATTTAGGTCCCCACGGTGACACAAGTCCCCATGAGTTGGTGAGTATTCAGGTTTAAGTCCCCACCAGTGTAGAAAATCCTGTACACACACACACACACACATGTATACAGTACTGTGCATAAGTCTTAGGCCATTAGTATTTTTACCAACAAAAAAATGGTTCTAAGCGTTATGTCTATCTTTTGTTGTAGTGTGTCAGTTCAGTTTACATTTCGAAACATTCCTTTTGCCACACAGAGATCTGATCCCACCATCATCCAGTCCGTCTGGGATTACATCAAGAATCAGAAAAAAACTGTGTGTGTGTGTCCACTTGATGTGTGTGTGTGTGTGTGTGTGTGTGTATATATATATATATATATATATATATATATATATATATATATATATACATAATATGTTTTTCTATAAATACAACCTTGATCCACTGAGGCATTGAACAGAAAAACAAGTTTACATTTGTTGCATTTAGGCCAGAAAATTCAATAGTGGGATGTAATTCAAGGAAAAGGGGTCCACTTGATTGCTGAACTGTACAGACTGATGTTGATCATGGGAATCATTAGCTCAGATCATTAACTGAGGACAAACAGTGACTTTAACCTCATGTGGTCTGATGTTAAAATCCCTTTGACCTATGATTTGCATTTAACTTTACATACTGGCCTATATATTGTATATTGATTGATACTTTATTAATTGTTACATTGATACTGTGTCTTCATTTAAGTGTTTGAATATTGTTATTTATTTGTTATTTTATTTGTTATAGAAATAAACTACCAAAACTGACTTAAAATTATTTCATGTATCATATTGTTCTTATGTAGGCTGATGCAAATAATAAATATTAATTCAAATAATTTATATTCAAAATAGTTCAATATTCAGTTGTTGGATTGATAATGTGAACACATTTTAAATGATCAATCTTACAAATGATGCAAAAACAAATGGGTTGTGTTTCACCATTTATTCTTTTGAAAAAAAATCCAGAATGTATATTTAGATTTTACATTTCCCCCCACAATATTTAACAGCATCCAACAAAATTATAAACTATTTTACAGATTATACAGTTTTTGAAGATTGCAGGGAAGAAGGGTATAAATTTGTTGGTTTTCACTTTAATTGAAGGATTGCTTCACCTTCTCAAACTGCTCAGTAAACCAGTTCCTGCCAAGACAAAAAGACCAATTCATATTAGAAAACGCTAACTGACCATTAGAAATGAAAGCAGCTTCTATGCCAGTGCAAAAACAACACGAATGTCCTAATAATACATTTCATAAATATAACTTGTAATGTTAATACATTTTTATTAAACTTAAAAAAAAAATTTAATTATGATAATCTTACTTGGTTTTAACTGCAAACTCGCTCTTTTCAAGCTGTTCGAAGGTGGTCTTGGTCTTCTCTGTCAGGTCCTCTGCAATCTCCTTCACCTGGGTCTGGAATTTGGCAAATTGCTGCTCCAGTGTGGGCTCATCCTGGGCCTCTGTTTAAATATAATTTATGCATTGTTAATGTGGAAATCTCATGAAATGTAAATCGACTACGAATTGTTGTTTAATAGGCCTTGAGGATATTCAAGAGTTGTATACTGTGGAAGCATCAGAGGGATGATTTTACCTGTGTGTACAGCAAGCACAAGCATAAGCACGGCTGCAGCCAGGTACAGTTTCATCTTTGCAGCCTTTCCTGTAACATACAGAAAATAAAACGCGATTAGAGAGCCAGCGATGACAGACAATTGTCATTTCGACTGATTTAGGGTAAAATTATTTGATGACTAGCCAGCGTAAAAAAAATTAATGTAAGCCTATACATCACATCTAGAGTGTCTAGACAAGTGTTTTCCCTTTCCCTATTAGGAACTTCGTAGCTAACTGGTTGTTAAATATTTTGAACGAAATACATTTTATATGTATCATAAGACTCATCTGCTTTAACACGAAGTTTAATTACATAAGATAATCAGGCCTATGTGTTTAAGACTAGAAGACGCCCGCTTCAATAAAAATGAAAATAAACAAGATAAATGCAAAACTAAATAATAACGCATTATGTTTTTATGTTTCCAAGCGGGTTCGAATAATTAAAATAATTATCTAACAAGAATAATTCGAAGCTGCTGAATTTAGCGATGATGGCAAACAACGACACCTAGATGTCGCCAATAGACTGCGTATTTATTTACTGAACGTTAAGACAAGAACGTTTATTCTATTGTTTCAGTGTAAAGCTCGCTAGATTCGCTGCGTACTTCGTAAAAAGTTTGGAAAGTTATCACAACAGGAATAAATGTAAGCTGTCGTACCTTTCTTGCAGTCCTCGAGAGAATTGGGTTGAGCTTGTAATGCCCCACAGATGGCTTGGCCCTTTATAGCGGTACTGAACTGACGTAGTGTGATAACACCACCTCTGACCTATCAAGACCTCCTGCGATCACTCTGTACTTCTCTCTGTTGATCTTCTTTCTATGTTTCGCCATGTCACAAATGGCTATAGTGCACATCTTTTAAAGGTGAGTAAACTCTGTTTCCCAGAGATTTTGTTTCATTATTCCTGAGAAGTACACATTAATCAGTTCAGTGACCTTTGAAACAACAATAACAGTCACAAATGAAACAATGTTACAAGACGGAGGGTATTTTCTTTATCTGGTACACTGATGCCGTGGGTAGTACAACGTCCATTCATTATCGGGGATTTTACAATTGGTTATGTGCTCCTCTCAACACACACTTTTTCAAAACTATTGTAAAAGTCAAAACAACTGTCTGTGGACTAAACTAATGAAATCATTTCTCAGTTAAGTTAAAACACTAGCAAAACTCAGTATCTACAGCCCATTTTGCACAAAAACGTTTGAATCTGTGCTAATAAAATAACCGTAAACTAAATTGGATAGTATTGTGGTAAAATCATTCCTTATTGAATATTCAGGATCTGAAAAAAAAGGATCTAAAATATTAGTTCCCATTATGGTTGAGAGTAGTTTTTTTATATATATATATATACATCAATTTCATTACTATCTATTCAAAGTGGTAAATAAAGATCGCATTACACTATTTTATGTAAACATTCCTGAAACTGGAAGTAGTGACTGGAGGAACCTCTAATCGGTATTAGAGAACACACCATTTTACTGTGTCTAGGGATTGATACCAGATGAAGAAACAGAGGAAGTAAATAAAATGGCAACATTCGGGCAATTTGTGAAACCAGAGTGCATGTTATCTTAGCATCCGCTCACCATCCACTTGACTGTCCATAAAACTAAAGAGGATCTTTTTTCCTAATGAAGGTAGTATGTGATCACTGTCCATACTGTCTTGTGTCTTCCTGGATACAGTAAATACTGTATGTCTGAACATACTCTTAACCTTAGATGGTTATCCTGAATTTAAAACATAGTGTTTTTGTGGTTTTCACTACACAATGAGCCAATTTGGAGGCGCATAACTTGGGAGTTTTTTTATGTAATCAGCTCAGTTTCATTCCGGTTGCTGTCTACAGGCATAACAAAGATGCAGGAGTTTAGTAACTGCTGATCGCTTGCATTGAAACCACCTTTGGATTCTAGGTCAGCAAGATGATTAGATCTCTTCACCTTTTATTGACCAAGTGTCATGCACTAGCCTTCTTAATAGCATTATAAATTAAAGCATGTTCAATGCTGTGTATTTATGTTTATGACATATGCTCTGCTGAAAGATCCAAACACATCACGTCTAATGTGCTGTAATGTGATTAAATATATTTATTATTAATGTACTTAAGTTTTATGATGCTTAGAGTCTGGAAAGGTAGTTAATTTTTATTTATTTATACATTGCCAAGATTTATTAAAATAAATTATTGTTGTTAGTGTTATTATTATTAAAGTGACTGTAAGGACTATACATAACACAAAACTTTAATCTTATATATAATAACATTTTAGTTGTATTAATATTTCATATTATGTTATGATGTTTTACTGTATGCTTCAATTAAATTACTTTTAAAAACATTAAAATATATTACCGACCACAAACTCGTGAATATATATCAGTATTTATTATAATAGTATAATAACATTTAAATTCTTACATGGTGGAATAAGATCACAAAGGCCAAGAGTTAAAATCTTGTCACCAGTGATCTTAAATCTGTCACACAGAATTGACTGTGTGACGCACACACACACACACACACACACACACACACACAAACAAACACACACACACACACACACACACACACATGATCTCAGCAGCTCTTGCCAGGCAAAGGCCAATGACCTGTTTATTTTATTTTTTTTTCTAGTTCAAGAAGATCTCTCTGCGCTTTTATTGATTTCTTTTTTTGGTAACTTTTTTGCAAAATAGCACACTTTCTTGTACTATATGGCATATCTATTAAAAGACTTGATCATGATAGGAAATGCTGACAGTGAAAAGCTGACAACATGCAAAAGTGTTGAAAGTGTCTAGACTCAAAAGAGGGGAAGTGGGGCTCTGTGCAAATGAGGACATGTTGTTTATTTGGGATCACGCCGAGAGTCAGTGATCTGCAGTTACCTCTGCTCACATCTGATCACTCACAGTTTGTGGCGGTGGGGGCTTGAAGTGTTTCTTTTGTCAGTTAACTGCAGTCTTTGTAGCACCTTTCTTGACAAAGTCTTGCTAACCGCTTCCAGATTTCCTTCTTATGGGTGCATCATTTGCCACCTATTTTTCTTTCAAATTCGTATATTTAGTCAGTGACCCATAGTCTTTCATTTAATGTGAGAATAGAAATGTTCATCAGCGTGTCTAGTCGGTGGCATGCTGTGCCATCTCAGGTTCTTTGTTTGACTTTTAAAACAAAAGGTGTGTGTCAGAGTTAGTAATTCTTAATATAAGAACATTTTGAATTTGTAAAAAAAAAAAATCTGGTTTTGCTTGCCAGTGATGTTGATGTTTGCCTCTCAAGACAAAAACTAAACGCAAACTGACTTTTAATTGTACAAACTTGAAAAATAAAAATAAAAAGGTTAAAAATGAATTAGTAGGCGTGTCTGAAATATTGAAAGAGATATTTTCATCTAAACAGGAACAGGAAAGGCCTGGGCTTTCAGTTATGTTCTAAAGTGTTTGCAGATTGTTTTGTGTTATTTTCTGCCAGACACCTGCATGCTTGAAAGCTGAAGCTTCAGATCAGTTTGCTATTAAAAAGGACCATTCAGTGTTGTGGTATTTCAAGCTAACCAAGAGATCCATCAGTCTATAGTGAAGAAAGGGACTCTTTCTTCTTGGAACAGGGGAGTAACCAGAATTATGATCAATGTTTTCAATAACAACTGGTTGTGTAATCAATCTTTCTTTCTTTCTTTCTTTCTTTCTTTCTTTCTTTCTTTTAGTGCCGTTATATCTCTTTATATTCAAATAAAAACTGAGAATTTGAGTAAAAAAAATTTTTTATGTATTATATACTGTGTGTGTGTATATATATATATAAACACACACACGCAGTATATAATACATAAAAAATATATCAAATTAACTCAAATTCTCAGCTTTTTATTTGAATATTAAAAATTCCAAAAAAAAAAATATATATATATATATATATATTATTTTTAATTTGTTAAGCTGACATTGGAGAACAAACTAAGAACATGCAATCAGGAATATAACAATTACAAAGACTGAAATTGTAAATCTTTCCTAGATTATGAAAAATGAAAGTAAAAAAAACAGGCAGGGTGGCATCTACTGGTATAGTGTACTTCCAACTGCTAGACAGATCAAACTGTGGCAGCTGAATTCTGAAAATGACATTTTCACTGTAAATTATAGGATGACTTGTTCTTTTTCCAGTATTTATGTACAGTATTTTATGAAATTTACCAATAGACTTTTCACCGTATATAGTAGGGGAACTTAACATTAACAAGTTTTTACCATATTTTTTCCTGTTAAAATTACAATAATTTTTTACAGTGTGAAATTTAAAAAAATTTATGTTTACAATACAAGTCATTGTTTGCAGTCCCAGTGCATTTGTGTGTTGCTTATGTGAGCGTGAATACAAGATAGCAGAGATTAAAAAGGAAAAAACAAAGACAGTGAACATAACCAGTGGCACAGCATGTTCCTTGTGCAGCAGACCCGCAGGCAAGCAAGTGGAATTTGGAAACAGATCTCAACATGTCTTCCTTGAGATTCAAAGCAGCAGAAAAAGAGAGAGAGAGAAAGAGGGGATGGTGCTTTGAGAACAGGTCCTTTGATCCTGAGACAATCAAAGCTGAGAAACATGGCTCTCATAGTGAACAGTTCTGTGCAAAAGCAAAAGCTTGAAGGAGAGAATTTATCAGAGGGTGACAGAAAATTTTTTTAGATTCTTTTTTTTTTTCCAAAAAGGATGATGTGAAGCGAATGTCTTAATTATTCAAACTTAAATAACCTATGTGAGTCGTTTCACATGGAAAAATGTGCATGTACACTGTTTTATCCAATTGGGAAAGCCTTTGTTTTGTGTTTTCTTTCTTTCTTTCTTTCATTCTTTCTTTTTTTTAATTAAAGTTTTAGTCTGTGATTCATTCAGCTTGACTGAAAACTTGTACACAACACTGATTATGTTTGCAGAATTCTATATTTTAGTCTAAACATTCCCTTTGGATGTAGTTTAAGTATGTTAATTCCAGACATTTTTACCCTTGTGTTTAGAGTGTTATGAGTTGTGTTTACTGTATTTTACCTATGCCAACAAACACATTGAGTTTTCATGTTTTATGAGGACTTTATCAATATATGGGGGTTTTATCCGTACACATAATTGATACTGTACAAACTCTATATTCTATCACCTACCCCTAAATATATCCCTCACAGAAAACTTTCTGCAAATTTACATTTTCAAAATACAGAATTTAGTATGACTCATAAGCTTTTTTCATCATGGAGATAAAAATCAAAGTCAGACATTTCATCATGTTTTACTATCCATTTCCAAAAGAAATTCATATAAACTAGGGGGTCACAAAGTGTGGTTTCATTGCACCTGATTGATTAGAATTCTGCCAAAGAATGAAATGTTTTTTTTAAATCCAAGATAAGCAGATCTTTCTTTGAACTCCAGAACTGAGAAATGGTTTAAATCTCAGGTTCCTGGAGAAGGAAAGGTGTGACCAGTAGATGGGTCTTGCCCACACAAGTCCTATGGAAAATGCTGAAGAAGGAAGAGAGATGCGTGACAGTGAGCTGAAGTTAGAAATAGGGGGAATAAGTGGGTATATAGAAGTGAAAGTTTACTGCGGAATTGGATCGGTCTTGTCTAAACATACAAAATCTGGAAATACGAGACTGTTAAATGCTAACTGCTTTTTGTAAGGGCATATGTAGGCCTATGTGTTTTTCCTGACTCTTATATTATATCTTAT